TCAAGTCACCATTCTCCAACAGTTGCTCGATTCCATAGCAAAGTATGGGCTGAATTACCTTTGAACTGAAGATCACATTCTCTTTGAGAACTTCACGTCCATCAAGGTCACGCAAGGAAACTTCTTTTCGCACCCCCCAATGCCAGTGGGGATACGGCTCCCCTGCGCGTCTTGTAGCTTGGTCTTTGCGCTGAACTCCAATTCTCCGCCCCCATCACCTACCATACTCGAAGGGAATAACGCTACATCAGCTCCACTGTCAATAATGCTGGCCACATCCTCATGCTCTTCCCCAAGTCTCCTCACTATGGGTTCATCATCTGAGACGTCGATCACCCTGCAAACTTCCACCTCTGGCTCATCATCATCATCAACAACATCATCATCATCTCCAATGTAGAAGTGAATCGATCGAATTCCATGATCTGCTACTTCATCATCCCTTTCTCGCAAGTCAAAGATGATTGGCTCACCGTTCTCAATTCTCCTGGCCACTGGCTTGGTCTTTGCTGAGCTACTCTGCTGGCTAACATTAGCTTGTTGTTGACCAACTCTCGCTTGCAACCTGTCGAATATTGTTCCTCCAACTGTCTCGAGCAAGATGTCCTGGCTTTCCACAAGCGTAACATGTAGCCACACCTTTGCCTTTCTGGTCTTTTCCTTTACCTTTGCCCTCCTGCTCACCTTCTGTTCCTTTCTGATCTCCCTTTCCTTTTTTCCTTTGACCTTTCCTCACCTTTGCCTTTCTGATGGTCATACTTGCCCTTCTTGCCTTTGCCTTTGGCATCTTGGACTCCATCAATGTCCTAAGGCCTGTCCTTGATAGTCTGTACTGCTACTTGCCACCATTGAAGTAGCCCACTTCTGCTGAGAACGATCCCAATTGCAACACTTGTTCCCTCAAAGTTGAGTATTGAACGTTGTCTCCAATCGTCAAATTCAAGTATGATTTGAGCTGTCCACCTACACATCTCAAAAAATAGCAATTCTCAACTCTTTTTGAACTGCCGTTCCTGCCTTGACCGTCTGATCAAATACTTCTTCAAGCTTCAGGAGTTGAGGTTGTAGCGCACTGTTCATTGAAAACGCTGGCCATGTAGTGGCTGCTCCCAAAACTGCTAGTCCTCTAGCTTTTGAAGTAGGTTTCAATGATTTGTTCAAACTCCTCCAGGCGTCAAACCCATTAGTCCTCCACCGCTTTAACCACTTACAGTGCTCTTCCCCTCCTCAATGAAGCTAACAATCCATAGAGCTTGACTTCTCCTCTGTAGTCCCCCAGTCCATGTCAAAGCTCTCATTTGGCTTGTCGTGAATCTCTTTCAAGTCCTTCATGTAAGCCTCATCAACTGAGCTCAAGTACTTCTCAAGTACCTATGACCACTCTCTAAGTGCTTTGATCTCTTCTTCTTGCGACTTATAGTCAAAGATGTCGGGCTTTGCAATGAGTTTTGACCGACCAGTTGTTGATGACTTCGTCTTCAACTGCTTTCTTTACTGCCTCAGCTGCTGATGTTGTTGCTTGCGTACTCTGTGCTATATCTTGAAGTATTTCTCTGATCTCCTCCGTCTCCACTGCACACTAATGTCTTTCTGACACAATGTACGGGGTACAGAGCGCAACTCACAACAATTTGTCACCAGTTCAGCTATTTGGATTCCAAAGGCCCCAAATCTACGGCTCGAAATTGCACTAGGGGTTTTCTCTGGAGCTCACAGGGGGTTGCCTTGCTCCGCTACCACGCGAATCTTTTCTTGACACAAAAGGGGCTGCGGTCAGGTGAAATGCTACTGATCATAATGTACATGTTGCACATGATCTACCTTGAAATTTGTTCACAAAGTTACAGCTTTGGCGTCAAGATTTAGAAGGTCAACGGAGAAATTAGTGAAATAACACCACTGTAATTCCAAGACAATATCACATTGTCACATTGTATCGGTGCTGGTTTGGTCCAAAATCTGCGGCTTTGATTTGGCGGTGGATCAAACCCTCAAAAAATGGTGGCAGAAGCAAATCCCAATCCATTCGAGAGAAACCACCTAAAATTGTGTTTATGTAAAGTTATTTCAAAACATGATTGGGTAAAATTATTCGAGATGAACCGACGGGGTGATACGAGGAAGGAGATATAGTGGTTGCCAGCGATGGCGGCAAGAGTGATGGATGGGGGGTGAATGTGAAAAATGGCAAGCCAAGTCAGGGTCTTCATGTGAGGTGGCCGCGCCAGATCAAGAATAACAATCCTCGTGATTCGAGATGAAGAACCTGAAGCTATGTAGCCTACGATGCGAGTCACAACATCAGCATGTATCAGCAGCACTCCAATTAGTCATATAGTAATTAACAGCAATACAACGCGGCGAGAATCGGTGGACATGGCATGGAAGCACTTGAAAGAGAATTG